CATCAATACCTTCGACGAGTCCTTGCTAACCTTCGCCAAAGTACTGGGATACGGAGGTCCCTTCACCGAGTATTCGGTTTCCCGCTTGAAAATTGTCTGTCCTGCTACGACCCCGCCGTCCAATCTCGCCGCCTCGGTCGACACACGACACACTCTCGTCTGTCGTCTCCCGCCTCTTGCGCCCATGCCTAACACTCCGACCGTCCCCCGCCCCCCTACCACTAACCACCACCGGCTCCGACCTCTTCGTTGAACTCACTGTTTTTGGAGCTTAAAACTGACCCCCAAATCTCCCCACCAACCGTGCTCTCCTAGTCATGGCACACACAACATGCGCTCTCCTCTTCTGTATGTACCAAGGGACTAATATTCTGGTTGACAAGGGAGTTTCTATTGTTGTACCAGAGCGAGCTATCCGCATTCTCTCAGAACACCTTCCTTCCCTATCCTATTGAACCGCCTCTGTTGTACTCTCCCTATGTCCGTCAGTGTTTCATCTCAATTGACAAAGTAGCAAACCCAGCCCGCCGACGCCCCACTCCCTCCATTCATGTTCCTCACACTGCACCCCCGTTATCTAATCTTCACAAAATATCCCTCACCTCATTCCATTTACTCCCACCGGACCGTGCTTTCCTATCTCACCCAAATGCTCTTTTCCCATTCCAGTCACAGCAACGCTGCTCTTCTGCTCTAATTTAACAAGGGCCGTGGCTATTGCGGACCTCCAACGTCATCTCTCTCTTTTCTTCTCTTTTTCTTCCGGCCCTCCGCCATAATATCTAATCCGTGTGCCTATATGAAACGAGCAAGTGTGCACTATGAAAGAATCCACTCTGCTGTGCTTGCGCGGCTAAATAAGCGGTTATAATAATCAAAACTACTTCTCTCAGGCAGCGGTCCCGCACACCACAACACCACCCCACCACACACCACACACACACACACACACACCACCACCACCACCACACACACACCACAACCACACACACACACCACCATAGACCCAGTCCACCCACACATCAACCACTTTTCTGCTTTTATAGGACTCCAGACACATACCTCGACCGGCACACACTCACACCTCTCCCCGTCTCCGCGCTTCTTTCTTTCACACACCATCCCACACTCACACACCACACACTCACACCACACACACACTACCCACACACACACCACCCATACAAACCACACTAGCCAGACACCACATCAAACACGACACATAGACACAGCACACACACATACAACACACACATAGACCACACACACCACACGACACACACACTCCTAGGACACAGCACACACACATCCAACCACACACTAGACACAGACACCACCATACAAACCCCATAGCACAAGCACACACCATAGACACACACCCCCCACACACCCACACCACCACCACACACAGCACACACACACCCACACACCCACACACACCACACACACCACCACACACCACCACACACACACACACACACAATCACGACCACGCCACAGACACAGACCCACCACACACCACACACATGAACAGCGCTGGCCAATTCGTCTCCTAGAGCGCGCGTGCTCTTTCATATAGCACGTAAGTTAATGTAAGAGCACCGCCTTGATTAATTATCTTCGCGGTTCGTCAAAAAAAAAAAGCCACCGAAGATACTCTGCGGAGGTCGAGCATCTGTCATCCGGGAGCCCTTCTGTTCTCTATTACAACCCACGCGTCTTCTGAACCCACATATCTCCATCCCTCCCTGCCACAGCCGCCGACCTCTCTTCCTGCACCCCAGTAATCCCCCACTTGCCTATAACAAACGCGTCTCACTCACACCTGTCCTATTATCTCGCACCCCAACGTAACTCTTTATGCAATAGTGTGTTCTATTATTTTTGCAAGCATGACAAAAGAAAAGCGGGAGCTTCTATTCTTCAACGATTATTCGCTCTTATTGAATAAAACGAGTTCCCTTAACCTCAACCCCAGTCGAAATTCTCTTATTATTTACTCGAGGGTGTTCTACTCACTCATCCGAACCCCGCAGTGCCGTACTTCTTCCTCGATTCTCGCTCACGCTGCACACAAGGGATCGTACCCTACCTCCTCGCCAATTACTTCGCACTCCTCCCACTAATCTCACACTAATTTGCATTCTAACTAGTTCAAATTCAATTTTCGATATCAGAAATAACCATTATTACTAGTGAGAATAGATTTTTTGATATCCTCCAGAAATGTATAAACGCTAAATCGGCTTGCCATACAGCTGAGGCAATGGGGATGAGTGATCGGTTGGTGAAACTGCAAACATATCACAAAATGTATAGGAACAAAAGCACACTCACACCTTTCCACCTGACTTCTGTAGGCATGCCATTCTGGTGTAAACGCTGTGATTTGTCCTTTCACTTTGTCTTCAGCGCTATCGATTGTTACTCTCCAACAAGAGTGGATTCACTGGTGCAGTTGAAAGATTTCTTTCTTAGCTCTCATGTATTTTTGAAGGCTGGACATCTGATGGGTTGTTGCAGGTGGACGGAGGGGAGGAATTCTGTCCACTTTGTTCTAATATCTATCTCTTTCTCTTACTGTCAAACTCTCCCTCAAGGCCCCTTTTTCTGGCAGATTTCTCCCTTCAACATCTTGTCAGTGAGGTGATCACCTTCTCCTCGAATACTGAAGGACAGTTAAGAAGAACAGATGGGACGGAAGAGATTTGAACGGACACACATCGAAATGAAATGAAAAGAACAAACTGTACGTGGAAGGAGATGTTCTCTGACAGATTAACCAAGGAAATAGCTACGTTCCAGGATTTAAGAGAAATATTATAGGTATGTTTAAGCAAAGAAAGCGAATGTCCTACTGTTCTGTTGAAGAGAACATTGAACACACAGTACAGCTGAGGCTGATGGCCTTGACTCTGTGTCAAGCATTTGACAAATTAAACTTTAGAACGGCTAGATTAAAAGTCAGGGGATCGACAAAGTGATTACAATTCATCGTGGGAGGGACATATCTGAACCAAATGTCATGGCAACAGTTACAGAGCCATTTCAGTCACACAAATATCAAGATGATGGTGATCCTGGAAGAAAACTCATTACAAAGTTATAAGGATATCGATGAATATGTTATAACTAGTCCTGTCAATCGAAGAAGGAAAACAAATGTGTTAATCAACAAATATCTGGGATGAATCATTATTAATTACAAGATTTAAATACCAATATTTACTTGTATTTTGGAGACAAATACAGAAAATGCATGACTAACTGGTGAGAGAAATCCGAGTGAAAAAACCCCACTTTATTATAGCATGATTTCTGAATAATTGGCATAAAGGTCGATACTGCACTGGATCTGATCCTTCACTGTTGACCCTTTCCTCTATCTCTCACTCCTGTGTCACTTCAAGAAACAATGTTCGACAAAATGCCTTTCCTTCGTTCTCTTCACACCTAAAGCGAATGGTTTCAGTTGTTTGTGAGGTAGTGATGGTTCATACTGATGTCCAGTGGTCTCCAGTCAGTGTCACACGTAGCTTGTGCCAGTTTCTCTGCTATCTTTGATTTATCACTGGCAATCTTGAGCACTGGAAATACGGGAGCAACTTTGGGTCAAACTTGGTAATTTGATTCAATTTGATTAATATTTTTTCAACGGGTTAAAGGTGGGGTAGGTAAGTTTGAGAAACCGGCTCGAGATACACTTTTTGTTATATTCCATGGAATGCTCTTAACATCCAGATAGCAATGAATATCTGAAGTGCTTTGACAAAAAATCCATAGAAAATATCATCTGTTGGAAGCTGTAGTTCTGTGAAAAGCACGACCAATCATCTGAGCCGGCTAAAGTAACTGGATGGCCTACCTGCCTGTCAGCCTTCCATCTGTGCACAAACTGATCTCTGCTCTCATTGGTCATGTGCGCGTTCGTGTGTGTTGGAGGAGGGGCTCTGTGAGGAAGGTATTTTCAAATTCTAGCGATCTCGAGCTGGTTCCGCCAAAATTACCTACCCCACCTTTAACGTTAACTTAGAAGCATGCATACAAAAGTATTAAAGATAAAAAAAGTTACACAATTTAGGAAATACACATCCTGTAACAGTTCTGAGGATTCAGCAGCCTGGTATATGTTGTAGGGCTGTGCGATTATGGCAAAAATCATAATCACAATTATTGGGTCAATAATTGATATCACGATTATTTTGACGATTATTCATT